TGGGATCTCCTAAACTTTAAACACCAAGATAGGCTGCTCTCTCCAAGTCAGAAAGGCAGGCCAGTGTTTAACCTCAGCCTGTGCTTGTTTTATCATGCATAAGCTAGGATGTACTAAGTGACCTAACCTGCAAGCTACTGTCACTCTCATTTGTAGCCGTGATGCTTAAAATAGCAGCCCAGAAGATATATTTATCTTTTGCCACCTTATCTGGAAAGTGCTATAAAATGGCCACCAGTCAATCTCAAATCAGAGCTCATGACAAGTGAGAATCATATGTCTGTATTACCAACATAATTTTACGTTCAATTGGTTTTTTAAAAGTAGATTTTTACAGAAATCAAGCAGCAATATGTTCATGCAGGTAACAGCTTCACAACATAAGCCAGGATGCTTCTTGGTGTGTAAAGACACTTAATTAAAAGACTAGATGAAAACCACAGTTCAGAACCAGATGCGTCTATTTTCAGATATAGAGTTCACATGCTTGCCCCACGAGTCTGGCAAAATCTTAGTTTGATAAGGCAGTCATGGGTTTGGGAACGCGAAATACATAAATGCAATCTATCCTCCCACACACATTCAAAGCATTTCCCCAAAGACAGCAGAATGATCTCCACTCCACATAATATATATTTGCATTCTTTTCTTCTGAATGATATTAATATCCTGATGTGACAAATTAAAGGAGGGGAGAAACACAAAATAAAACTTGTTTTGCTAAAGACGCCTGACTACCCATACCTATGGTGAAACACCTGTACTCCTACCACCTCTGCCTCTCTCTAATTAAGCCCATACCAATGTCAGAAGGAAGTGTCCCCACAAAACGGTCAATTAGAATGACACAGTAACATTGCTGGCCTCGGCACAGGGCACAGCTTCCTAATGGCAACAGCTCCTGCAAGGAGATGCTGGCATGAGACACTGTCTGACCCAAGCTAGTTAATACTGTCAGAACTAGCCATTTCACCAAATTAAATCACAGTTCTCCTCTGGAGGGTGACTGGCATTTCCAGAGCAAGTTTGTTCAGCTTTCTGCAAACTCAACCTCAGGCATATGAAAGTCAAGCTGTGCTCTTTCTGGTTCACACCGCCAAGACGGCAGCAGCGACAAGATTCTCCTGACCAAATCTTGCCCTCAATTATGCTTGTGCAATCCTGGCTCTGTGAGGCTACCTGGAATACAAAGCAAGTACAAATGTGACAAAGGCAGCGCAGGTGGCTCAGGATATACATGACATTGGTTTGTTGGCAAAGAAGGTGACATTCTTGGGTGATTTTTCTGATCTACCCTAACTTTAAAGCAATATCTGTAGCAAGCCAATTGTAGCTTGCTACAAATTTGTGTTTCCCTCTACAGCTTGCTGTAAAGGAAAAAGTTGCTGCAATCTGAAAAGAGAATCTAAGTAAGGATTTTTAGATGAAGGCCATTCCAAGCTCCAAGATGCTCCTCTGGGAGCACAGTTGAACATGTCTACTCATGCCTGTGAACACTAAAAAAAAAAGGGTCTATTTGTTTTTTCAGTACCCAGCACAGGGGAGATGACTGCCCTAAAGAGCGCACAGCGTTGATTTACCTGTTCAGTGACACAGGAAGGAATGGGGTGCTTTAATTCCCCTTCAGTCTTTATTTTCATTTCAGAAAAATCTTAGTCATAGACTCCTAGTGTTCATGGAAGCAGCAGATGCCAACTGTTCAATTCCTTTCCTCCTAAATGAGATCTATCCTTTCTATTGCAACCCTCTGTCAGGTGGAGTAGGTATACAAACCTGGGACCTATGTAGTAAACTCCCAAACATTCTTGATTTTAGCTTTGGAGAGTCATAATGATTTCCTAAGGTAATGCTTAGGAAAGAAATGCTTAGAGCTCATTTTGTTTTCTTCTAGAGACTGAAATGCAATAAACCTACTAATTTCTGAGTGCTTTGGAAATAATTGCTCTTTTATTTAGATGATGCTTCCTGCTTTCAGTCACATGGAGGTAAATGCAAAGCAACTACTTGAAAACAGTGGAATAATTTCTTCAATTTAACCCTTTGTTTTCATAAGCTTATATAAAAATACTTGACAAGCAAAATCTACAAATTATAAAATATAATAAACTACAATTTTAGTTTGACTAATAGGAAAAAATTAACCTCATTTTCTTTAAAGAATAAAAATTAAAGCTTTTCCAAATACTGACAAAAGTTAATGGAACAGTATGGCAATAATTATAGTAGGAGCAGGAAAACAAAACTGGCCTCAGTCCTGACCACAGACAGCGAGCCTTTTAGGAAAGTCAAATCTCTGGCTTCCCATACAGCTCTGCAGGGTGCCCGCTGCCCTCCAAACAACAAAGAGCTTCCTAACACTGCTTTATAAAGCAAAGAACTCTATTTTACCATGACAGAAGCAGTATCCTGTCACCAGCCAGGTGGAATAATACCAGGCTCTCTGTTCAATAGGATCATACCCATATCCAGTTGTTTATTATAATACCGAGCTTTTCCCTCGCCTATTTCTACGACCTTCACATTTCCACTAGACAAGACTAAGTACTAATACCCTACCCACTTTCAATTATTGCTTTGATATTTTGTTGCTCAAAGCTATCAAATTCAGTGTGATTCCAGTTCTTGCAGAAAGAAGAAATAGAAATGTGATTATTATTAGGAGGAAAGTTTTGAACCTTCTCCAAAAAATAGCAATAATAATGAAACACACTTGCCCAAATATGTTGTATATCACCTTTGTTTAATATTTTTGTCAGTTCCGCTTAGAAAAATTAATGCCTTGGGAAAAAATAATTGAAAGCGTCTTTCTGGAGTACTGTAAGCATCCCCCTGGGGTCTTTATTATTCTAACAATTTCCCATTTTAAAATACACAGGTACTAACAACCAACAAATTATTACATTTCCTTTAAATGAACTGACACAACAAAGATAATTAACTAAGAACATAAGCCTGCTTTCCATATGGTAATACACATCCCAAGGGCAAAGCACTTCTCTTTTAAGGAATTCCCCACAGACTTCTTATCCACCTTGTAAGGGTAATTAACAACTGCAAAACACCACTGAACTTGCTTAATGTCACAATATTCTGAAATACATTACTTTTTCATGGAAAACGAATATGATCTGTAAAAAAAATAACGTAGGACTTTGGAAGAATAAGGCATTCTTTTGTGTGATGGAGCATGCTGACGTAACTAGCAGTATGATTTAAACTCTGAAAAGGGGTTTAGAAGAATGTTTACATTGAGGGTTATGTCAAAAAGAAAGCTAAAATGTGAAGCATAGTTTCCCACTTAGATAAGTAGCAGTTTATGCTATCTCCTGTGAACAACAATTTTTGGGGAAAAGAGAAAGGAACACATTGGTTAATAGATATCTAACGTGCTAAAATTTAGGTTAGATAAGGCAAACTATGGTTTTCTTATAATGCCATTAGTTAAAGCAAAGAGTACAGAGAATACTAATGCTTTCTCAGAGCGCACAGTGCATATTAAAATTCAAAAGCATCTTGTCTACACTACAATTTCAAGCTTAGAAGGCGTACTAGGCAACAAGACTATTGTTACTAGGAATAATATAATGAAGAATGTGGTAAGTGGAATGAAATTAAAACTGAAGAGCTAAAATCAGGGTAAGCACAGGGGAGCAGGGAAGGTAAAGAGATGTCTTTGGATTGGCTGTGGATTTACATGGGAATACAGCTAAAGAGACAAAACCTTACTTGAAGGAATCCCAGAGAGAAAAGATATGCCCAAAGTAAATCAAACTGCAACAGGAGAAATTATCACAACTTCTGTCTTACTACAATAATGGCTTGTTCACTTTTCCAGGAGAACGTTTCCATGGCTGTACAATCCTTTCACACCAGTGTTGTGTCTTTTACCATGCAGGAGACAAACTAAAAATTCAAAGATACCCTTCTTGTGCAAAAGTCTTCAGGCAAAATTCTGGACAGGTTAAATCCAAGTAAACTTTGCCATTGAGTTCCACAGCACAACTAATTTGCTTTATCTATCTTTAAATCACACAAAAACTCCCCACAACTCCACAAACAAAACCAACAGCCTTATTTCCCTAAGGAAGATTCAAAGTAATATCAAAAGCAGAGTTAATGCCTACCAATAATTGCAGGAAGGCAGGCCACACGGTGATGAATAACCCAACTCTGGTTTGTGTTCATTTTTTCATATTTTATGCTAATCCTTCAGTGAAGGATTTGACACCTTACCATTGGTGCAGTGTGGACCAGTTTTAAACACAAGAACATTTTACATGGGCTAAATCACTGAGCTGGAAGAAAGTGAATGATTGGCACAGGGCAGAAGTACTTTTTGCTTCAAGGCTCTGGCCTGTCGTTTGCTGGAAAATCTGTTTTATTAAATGCCATTCACACTTCCCAGATAAGTCACTGAGGGATATGCCAGATTCTTTCCCAAATACTACTTGATACTCACTGCTGATCACTGATGCGAACACAACATCTCTTTTGATGTTCCTAAGCACTGAAGTGTATATATTTCCCAACACACCAAATGTTCATAAGGCTAAAAGAGAGAAAGATATCAACCCTTTGGATGAGAAAGAGCAGAGAAAACTGTGGTTTTATTTGAATAAATATATTAGGTACTTAAAAGAGTTCAGGAAAACCCGAACCAGATGCCAACTGCCTGTGAGATATTTTTTTTTTTACCAGTTACAGCAAGTTTTACTTAAGAGTAATTTCAGTCAATCAAGTTAACATTTATTCCTGGGAGACAGGACATGAGAGGGTAAGAAGATGTACGGTGTAACAGTGATACACCAGGAGTCCTCACTGTGGTATCTGATCTGCTCTCTCTCTAATCCACCAATGCAGAGCAGGATACAGGATCATGGTCTAAATTTGCTGGTGACTGTGAAGGCCAAAATACTAAATGGAAGCTGACTTACACACACATTTGACTGTAGATGCACACAGATGAATTTTGTTGAACTAAGGCCCCTCACTTGACTTACCTGGTTTTTGTCAGATGTGACACCTAAACACACTGATATCATCCACATCAATGGCTGCTTTTCACTTCTGCTGTATATGTCAAAAGAAAGTAAATGGATTGCAGTGACACCCAGCAATCAGGCAGATTATTAGCAGGAAAATACTACTCTTATTCAGGGAACATACAGAATTCTCTTCTGCTTAGTTCCCTTCAATCATACAAACTATCTTAAATAATTTCCAAAAAACTTAAGGGCTCAGATCACTGTTAAAGAATTGCAAAGTGCTCTTACATCAGGAGTCCCCTAACACTGATCATTTAACATACGTAGTATTTACAGCAATAAATGAAGAAGATTTACCATTAAAGCTGTGAAACACAAGGATGTTCTACAGTAAGTCTATCCATCACCAGCACTTATTTCAAGTGGCCTTTTCTGAGGCTTAGGCTTGGTATAAAAATTCTCAAATCAGGCACTGCACAGATTTCAGAGTGATATGTAATAGCACAGCTCTAAAACCTAGCACACTTTACAGCAGTGTTTAAAAAAAAAAATAAAAATGTGAAGATTTGACCAGCTAAGCCTTGTTGAGTATTCTTGCCTATATCATCTGCATTAGTCTGTTAACCTCCCTTTTTCCTTTGTATCAAACCAATGACAGACTGCACGCCCACATACACATTATCAAGAAGACTCACAACTAACCCTAATACATTATTCTAATTATTTTCTACAAAGAAGCACATTATACTTGATAATAACCAGCAGCAGATCATTATAAATTAAATTTACAAACAGTAGAGGCAGGAAATAAACAACTATAATGCAAGCGAAGAACACTTTACCTCAAATGTAGCTCAGATCATGAAGTGAAAGACCACCAATGTTTCTAAGGACTCTCAGTAAATTAAATACATCCCATGTTGCAGACGTGGTCACGCAGAATACTAATTATCAGTTAATATCCAAGTGAAAATAACATGACATCTTTATTCAGCTGAAGGCTCGGATTCCTGGCAACTGTTATATGGGATTTGCCCAGTCCGCAACTGCCACCCGCAGAGCGCCATTTCCAGGCGAGCCCCGGGGCTCCCATTTGAACAGGCCCCTGACAACCCAGACACTGGGGTGGCGTTGTCAGAAACACCCCTAACCTGGAATTTCCCATCCTGCACAATCACATCACCTGCCCCAGGTATCAATATATGCTCCAAAAAGACACAAAATCTACAGAAGAGGGTTTTTCCTACTGCTTCAGGCACACACCACCACTGCAGCTGGGCTCAGCACGGGAAACGCAGCACCGACCAGGCCACAGGCTGTAATCCACCCGCCACAGCTTCCCACATGCCCGGGACAGCCGTGAGCTCACTTTATTAAGCATTTTTTACCACTATTTAGGTCAGGTTTTGTTGCTCCTCTCTTGTCTCAGCCTGCTGATTGGAGCTCTTTGTGGGAGACAGCACGGCTCCATATGAGGAAGCACCAGCACAGGCCCCTGCTAGAGTTTCTGTATTAACAGGCAGGCACCAGGGCCAGAACCGACAGAAAAACTTGTTCTCCTGCTTCAGGCCCCTTCTGGCATATTCACTACTGGGACTAAAATTTCCTATTCTTAGTCCTCTTCGCCGTGTTCGCCCCTGTTGCTTTGGGCAAGGCCAGCACCTCCCCACAGCGGCCTCCATCTTCCCCACGGGTGGTTCAGCCCCGCTGGGCCCGGCCGGGGGAGTCGAGCCGCCCAGCACAGCCGCAGCGAGACGGACAGGGGTCAGCGCAGTCCTACAGCACAGAGATTTTACGGTTGCTCCAGAGAAAGCTTTGTATCTGTTTTCAAACAGGTGATTAAAGGTAAAACAACTTCCTCTGGGGGCACAATTTATTAGAAGAACTGACAAATGACAGCAGCTCCAAAATTTCAACCGAAGCCTCACATGCTTTCCTCTGTTCCTCTTTCTTTCATAAACCCGGGCCTCATCAAACATGTTAGCAGTGTGTGCTACCTCAGTACATCATAAAATACGTACGAGTATACAGGATCGCAAAGCTAACAGCTCCAGAAGCAGCAAGGCCCTTGGTATTTCCCGACTTTGGGGTACTTTTCATTCTTAGTGCTGCATTAGTGTTATTTTCAAGTGTTTGATGCAGTATTAACTAGTGTCATGTTTTGAGGAATAGAGTTGTACAACGCTGCCCAAAGGAAAGAGAAAATACCTTGAAATGAAATGTGTGATCGTTTACAATGCTGAAAGCTTTTTAGCTATGGGCATTATTTCATAGCCAAGGTAAGCACTCTCTCCTATGGGTACAACTACACAGCTGCTGTTTAAAAAGAAAATAGGGTTTCTGTTTCCAGGCTGTCTTCCCTTCTTAAATTCACATTAATGAGAACTGATCTCCTGGCCCTGGAGGTGGCAGAGCTGCACCCAAACCAGGCCACAAGCAGCTACAGAGGAGCTTTCCCCCAGGCAGCCCCTCCAGCCTTCCCCAGCACGCTCCCAGTGCATGGAAGCGAGCGCAGCTGCAGGGAAACCCGCAGAGCTGACGGACATATCTGACCTGGGAAGCATGAAATATGAAAATGGATATGAAATTCAGAGCTAGCATGGTGTTGCTCAAAGGCAGTAAGGTGCAACAGGCAAGTCACTGGTATGAGGCCAGTATAACCAGTGGGGAGCAGCTGCTCCACAGGATGAATTGGGGGCTGCTCCAGAGACCTCACCCTCATACAGCACCTGAGCACGTCAGCAAAGGCAGATGCTCCTTCAAGAGTCCATAAACCACTCTGGAAACAGCAAATGATAGATCAGAATCCATCCAGAGCAAGAGCCAGGCACACCCACAGAACAGCTCAAGGCTGAGCTTAAACAGAGCTGTCAGAGCAACACAGTGAGGGTGTGTGGGTGGAGGTCCCAGGTGAGGATGCTGAGGGGAGCTGAGCACAATCAGAGCCCTGGAGATGGCTGAACATGCAAGAGCCTTGGCAGGGCTGCGTGTGCCTTCAGCTCAGAAGCAGGAAATAGCAATTTTCAGATCCCCCTGTTTAAATATATCTGAATTCTAGGACTAAAACAAAAGGCTTCTCTAAGTCCTTCCTTTCCTTAAGGCTGTCCAAACCCACCTGAGTTTGTAGAAAGCGCAGCATGAGAGAGCACATGCAACCCCTCTCCACCAGCAGGAGCATACAGTGAAAAAATGAGTTAATGTTTGAATTAAAGTAAATAAATGCATATAGCAATCTCAGACAGACATTTTATTTAATTTCCCAGGTTCCTTATCCCCAAAAAAGAAATTTTCATCTCACGAAGGCCTGAAAGCTGGACAATCTCTGGAAAAAATCTGCCTTTCAAGGATGCTAGAAATTGGAAAAATATATTCTATGTAAAATAAATAAACCTTACCCTACAAAGAGACTGCCTTCAGCTACACATACATGAATGTGCAAACATATAATTGATGCATAAATTTATTAATGCAAGCTCAGAAGCTTTACACCTCGTAGTCAAGTTGACATATGATCTTTTTATTTTATTTTCCAATAGGAGAAAAAAGTAGTGCAGAACTGATAAAACTGTGTGAGATTAAATTGGATTTTCCACTACAGAAAGCTGTTTGGAGACAGGTATTCCAAAAGCAAGACACGGTACAAAAAAGTCTCTCAGAGCCTTAATGAGAGTGACAAGGGGAAAAAAGCGTCTGTGCTCTTCTAGAATGTTACTCCAAATGGTGCTTTTGTCATAAAATACTTCTTCTTTGCAAAAACTACTTTCTTGTTGTCATTATTTTGTAGTACTTAGCTGAAAGGTTGGAACAAGAAAGCTGCATTATGTAAAAATGTCTTATGTGCTATTCAAACAAAATGACACCAGTTCTGGGTGTAGCGAGTAATACACTTATTATTCACTCGGATTCAAAGATCTAAATTCAATATCATGAAGATGATTTGTTAGGGTTCACCTGACAGTACCAAGGGGTTGGCACTATTAGTGAAGTTATCGTAAGAAATATAGGATTGCAGTGGCTCTTGGCTCCATAGAATGAGTTCAATGCAGAAGTCCAGAGCTTCCTGCATGCTTCCATCCCTTGCTCCATGCTGATCTCCTAGCTAGTTGGTTCCTCCTTCCCCATGCCATCAGGGCCGCCTGAAGTCCACAACCCCTCCTCCATGACTGGGGTATGTCTCTCCTCTTCTTCCCAGGACAGAGACAGGTCACCGTATTCTTGGCACCCTGACATCCCTTCTGCCTTTTCAGTTGCCTTCCTCTTCTCCTTTCAAGGACGCTGTTACACCTTCATGTTTCTCTCTGCCAGCAGGAAGGGTTTCTTATTCTCTCCCCTGTGCCAAAGACAATGGACATTCTTCAACACACACCACCTTCCAGCCCTTCCCACAATCTCTGTCCTTGACTCCATGTCATCTCTTGGTACACATGCACTTCTCCTCCTTCTTCAGGATCCCTGTTATCTCCTGTTCCTGTGGAATGTCACATCTTTTATTTCCTTCATCATTTATCCTAACAGTACTTGGATAAAGACAAAAGGAAAACAACAAATCCCCAATTCATATCATGAACAGCAGGACAAAAGAAAAACATCCTTTCCTTCAACTCCCAGATCTCTGCAGTCTAGTAAGAGATGAGCCCTCACTGAAGCTTAGAGAAATTGAAGATCCCGCTGAAGATGTGAAGTCCCTTACAACCTGAATTATTCTCCGATTCTATGTGAATTTGATCTGCACTGAAGCTGGCAAAAAGGTAAGGTTGTGGCTCACGGGCAGTTGCTGTTGGGAAAATGATGTTAACATTTTTTTCGGCCACATCTGACAGTTTTAGTGTCACTGCATATGCAGAAAAGTTCATTGAACCAGGAAGGTTTCAGCTGAAACACACTCAGCTAAATGAACCAGTATTTTCTGGTTCAACTTTGTCATTTCGCAAAATAACTCTAAAGGAAAACTTCAGCGTGAAAAAATTGTATACAATTTATTTGACTTTCCTGAAGCACAGAAGGATAGCAGGTTGTTGCTGGTACTGCTAACTGAGCAGTGAAAGGGAATCTCTCTTTTCAATGAAGAGCATTTGTGGGCTGAGTTGTCAGTTAAATCTATCAAAATAATTTGAATCAAATACCAAGGATTCAGAGAGTAAATACAGACTGGCTATGCAAGCTGCTAAAGAAGATGCTTGTTGTATCATTCAACAAAGACCCATATTAGCAAGTTATGATATACTCAAGGTTGTAAACACAGAACTGAAAACATTAAGATTAATTGGGCCTGCTGCGTAGGTAATGATGATAAGGCACATCCATGTAGCAGCACTCTGCCTGGAGTGTCTGGGAGGTTCCAGCTGTAATATAATAAAGTTTGTCTTAGGTGACAAGTTTGTCTTAGGTGCCCTACCATCTTAAACACAGACATTCATCTTCCCCTGCACTCCTCAGTGCTGCACTAAGTCCAGCTGTTGCTGAGACCAAGAGAACATCACAACAATGTCATGACAAATGCACAACAGCATCCAGTATAGTTCATGTTATCACAATCCAGAATTCAGTTTGCCCTGCTCATAACAGTTTCCATCTCACCTTTACCGAGTGAAAATGTTTGTCACCTCTAATAGAGACCTTTGCAATAGAAACTTTCTGAACTGGATGGATTGAACAGCTTACTGAAAGCAGTAACTGACATAGCTATGAACGTTTGAAAAAATCTGGAGCTTGGAACATCACGTATATGTATTCTTTGCAAACAGCCCTGGCATGCTTGTGCATGGATCCTGGGGAATATGCATTTCTCAACTCTTCCAAAGAAGGGAGCCCCAGGAACATTTCAAGCCCACAAGCCTGCAGTCACAACAGCCCAGTACACAACAGAGACCATTGCAACAATGCACTCTGGAACTTTCCCTGCAAGGGAAAATGTATGAAGAAATATCAAATGAGCATGTCTAATTCCTTGTTAGACCACCCAATCTGCACCAGGAACACGCAGTCCCACCATTTGCTTTCCTTCCTTCCTACATCCGTATAAAACTTCACTTTGTGCCCACACAGGCGCTATGGACTTTCTTGAATTTGCTGTTTATTTTCTCCACACAGCCATCAGCCTGCACCCACAGTTTCATGGTATGAAGATTCTGGCTGCAGCAGTGGCTGACAACTCTTGTCCATCCCCAGACCACCCCTTTGCACTGTGCCTCCCTTCCAGTTGGGCAAATCTGAATTTTTTGAGGGGGGGCAGTATAAAACAGGCCTCAGAACTGATGTAAAAATCTTTATACCACTCTTTCCATCATACGTCTATTGTCATGGACTGGGTACCTGCTGTCTGCTCAGAACCCAGACTGAAAT